ATCAACATATTGTTAATCAAAAATATCTCAAGTTATTGCTAATCATGCCACCAAAATGAACATCTGATATTAAAATAATATCCTGCAGTATATTATGTTGTATAAGTTTTTCATATAATGCGTTACAATTATCTCATTAAAGATTTAGAGAAATCTTTCAATCTAAACAAGCCTAATTGATTTTAATATAAATAATAAACTTTATTGCACACATCACAATATTAAAGTTTGGATAAGAATGATATATCTGTGTATCCAATCTTTTATATCAGAATGAAATACTTTTTTTGCACGTTAATAAATGCAGATAGCAACATTTCTTTCGGGGTGTTACATGTACAGTTAGTAATAACTTATATACGTATTATTAACTATATATGTAACATCCTGATAATGTACTTGTGATTTTAATCCTCCAAAAAGGAAAAATAGGATTTTAAACGGAGGACACATTTGTACCTTGCAAATAATATAAATTATTTAAAAATAAGGCTCAGTATCAAGGTAAACACGTCACACAAGACGATCTTATCATTCTTCGTCACTTATCGTTAGTCCCCAATCAGTACCAATCATCATTAGATGTATCTCGCCAAACACATCGTTTAAACTATATCTTCGCTTCAGTCTTGTATATGTAATATTTAATATGAATATAATTTTAGAGAACATATCCGGATCATAGACTGATCTAGCTGTGTTAGTCAAGTCAAATGGCTCTATAATATTGCAATAATAGATAAGTGTAATGAAAAGTAATACTTTCAACCGCTTTTATGTGAAGAACATTCTATTACCTTCAATACACAAATATTTCCATTGATAAGGATCATTTTTAGATGATTGTACCATACGACATTCCTCTTTCGGTATTTTGCTTGCTAAACGTACGGATATCGCGTATTGGCTGAAGCTAATTTAATAATACAAATTAAATATCGCCACTGTCGTTATTATTATAATATTACATACCGTTTGTATTCAAAATTACTTACTCAAATTCAACATAATATTTGAAAAATTCAAACAATAATTCCCCTAAAGACTGATGGTTCTCAGGTAAATGATTGGACGATGGAATATTCAAATCCTCATGAATATTGATATTATAAATATCTGCGTCCGACTTAAATTTGTTTGCAAACATTGAATGCAAGCACGGAAGAACAGGAGGATTGGTACCACCTATAAAAATAACACTTACGTTCTATTTCGATTACGAATAAAATGGGTTACAAAAGAAACAGTAAGAAAAATTGTAGCATGCATACATTGTAAGAAATGTATAACCATAAGGACTAAAGAGTAACTGGACAGTGTCCTACACTTTGGATTATTAATATTATGCCATTGAGCCCAAAGTTTAACAACAAGCGCTAATGGTTTTACTCTCCAATCAACTATAAAAAATATTTATATAAATAATGATTAAAATATTTGTTTCAATACACAAATACATATTTATTTTGCAAGTACAAAAGTTATTTATCAAACTTACGTTTGGAATAACAATATAGTAGATGTGTGTTTTTGACGCCAACAGAATTGTTAAAATTCATATCAATTTTAAATTTTCGTACTACATCAAAGAATGTAATAATAGGAACTTTTGCATGTATAATTTCGAGTTGTTCGACGAAATCTGAATACAAAAGATGAGTTATTTATCATTAAACTACTGCAAATAAATACATTAAATTTTTACAAACTTTACTCAGTAAATAACCAATTAACAATAATATAACATCAATGTTATAATTTCCCACTTAATAATGTAAATGGAATATAACATATGTGTATTGTTGAATGGGAAATTATAACATTGATATTATATTACTGTTAATTGATGTTTACTGGGTTATATATTTATAAATTTTACATACTACTTTGTTTAAGGTGCTTTAGCACTTCTAATAAATGTTCTATAGCTATACATCTTACATCCAGTTCTGTGTGTTTCATTAAAAGACACACATCAACATCGCTATCATTTGAACCAAACCCATTCATTGTTGAACCAACCACAAATACACTACAGTTTGGATATAAAGTCTAAAAGAATTATTTTTTAATACACATATAAGTAAAGTGTAAAAATATAAATAGTAAATAGTAAATATTAATATGCTATTTAAAAATTTTAAATATATCTTGTTTTTATTTTAAAGATATCTTGACAATATTTTATTTTACTATATTAAGGTCCCTATTCAGTATCTCTTAACGACGTGTCGGTGTCGTTATATTACCGTTGTATAAGTTTTAGACATGGTAAAAGAGACACAATAAAAATATAATGACAACATTATTGTTAAGAGTTACAGTATAGGAGTTCAAGTCTTATTTATCTTTTCCTTTCTTATATTTTACCTTCATGTATGTGTTAAGATGTTTCCATAGCATCATTTTCTTTCTATAAGTAGTTTCGGTTTGTTGGTGCGCAATGAATTTACGCCAAATTTGTTCGGATAGATCATCCCATGATGATCCAGTAACAAGATTGTTTGGTACAGAAGTTACTTGTACTAAATGAGATCTAGCAAGAAATCTATCAGGGGCTGCAATACATCCGGGAAACATATCATAATTCGATACTTCAGAATATTTACGATTTCGTGAAAATCTTTGTGAAGATGCATTTTCGTTTTTGCCTAGAAACAAATCCTACTTAATTTGAAGTAAATTATTTTCTAACGCGCGCGCGCACGCGCGCGCGTATGCATTTTACAATTTTAAGATCCTAGTATATTACTATATGTTATTAAATAGAAAAAAAATGTTTGCCTGATAAATATCTTCTTCTGTTCTGATAATTTTGTACATATGATCTTGGAGTGGAAGTACCGTAACCACTGTTCGCTCGTTGAGGTGGATAAAACTGATGTGCAGAAGCACTTGAAATTAAGCCATCTACTGTATTATTATATGTATTATTATATGTTCTATTATCCGGATTTACTTTATGATGCTTTTTGCTAAAAATGTAATTTTAATTAATGATTAATGATTTAGTTACATATGTAAATATATATGTATATATGTAAAAAAAAATATATATATATATATTTGCACGCGTTGTGTATCTTTCTTCTACATTTAATGTTTCTCTTGAAATTACAAAAATATTACACTTTCTTATCCTCTTTTCTAATCTCTATTAGTTTATTTTATTGTTTTTTCTATTTCATTTGTCAAATTTCACTTACTCTTTTTCCTTCTATTTTATTTTCTCTTTTGTGATATGTACTTAATATAGATTTTATTTAAAAGAAAAAAACATATTTGGAAATCTGGCAGTAACAGATAATTTTGAAAGTGTATATAATTACTTTAGCCATTGTCCTCTTACTGAACTCGTAGAATCTCGTTCATCTGAAGACTCTGTTAAACTATTGTCAATGTAATGTTTATTTGGAGTTGGTGAACGAGAACTAAACCCACTATCGCTATTATATGCCTCATATTTTGAGAAATTCCTATATGAACACCGTCTGCTATTTCTGTTATTCCAACTTGGTTTCTTTGTCGAATTAGTATTTGTAGGCTTGAAATTATAATTTGAGAATGGTATAATTGATGAGTTGTTGGATGTATTTATACGTCTTTCCCAATTTATAGAAGATGAATTATTGTTTGATTGTATATATTCTATACGTCGTAATGATGGTACATCGACACCTATTAATTGTAATAAATCCAGTGGAGATCCTGTCTGTAAGAATATTATTTGTATATTCCAACAAAGAGATATTATATGAATATAACACAAGATACATTCATAAATGAAAACAAATTCTATCATATTGTATAACGATATTTAATATCAATGCATATTACGATAAAATTTTTTAAAAAATGTTTGAATATATTATCACATGTGTAAATTTAATTTCTTTCTAAATGATGTAGATAATTACGTTTTATGTAAATAAAACGTAAATAAATTCTTCGTAAATAAATTCTTATTGGCTACATTTACATCAATAACGGTTTTACTATTATATTGCATATTTGAATTCTTCCTTTGATAATGAAGGATTCTAATAAACGATATTAATACATATAATTTAATTACACACTAGAACATCTAATAATGGAGATAATATATATAATTTAAATTAAATCTAAAAGATACATATACCTGTATCGTACGATGCCTGTTGTGTCCAGAGATATTCGGACCATATTGTGAGAAATCAGATTGATGCAATGCATTTACACCATTAATATGCAGAGTATGACTTTGTGCTGGTGGACATTGTCCACTTGTTTGGTGTCCTCCCATTATTTGTACCATCATTTGTGATGGATATACAGTATGATACATAGTCAAATAAGTATACAAGATATTTGATCTCCTTTTTGGATTGTTTATTTGTTTAATTCTTAATGTATCAATATATTGCACTTAATAGCACTCATAAATATTTGTAATCAATAAGGCAATCAATAAAGCATACAATGTTATTATTATTATTAAACGTATCTTGCAATAATTGGTATTTCATCAAATGAATGTACACATGTACACTTAAAAAAGCTTCAAGCTTCTTATTTTTTCTTTTATATGTATATTTTATTTTTTTAATACAGTTTTGCAAGATATTATGTTGTATCTTTTGCGACCTTACTATGTTAAATCTAAAATTTAACACAATAGATATATATATAATCAGCTGTAACGTAAAGAGACAAAACTGTATAACAATTAGAAATTTAGAAATGAGATACAATAATTCACTCTGTCTATCTCTTGTCATGGAATTTATAAATATGTATGCATGTGAAATATACAGAGCTGTAAAAACAAATTGTAATGTAAATTAATAACTGTACTTAACGAATAATTTTACACAAATATAACAGCATTATATTAAAGAAAAATGCATATATAAGGCAAATAAAACAGTCTGTGTATATTTTTAATAGATTACTATTAAATTCTCTAGTCTCGAAACATTGTATTATTTATAATAATATTACATATACAACTTTGCCTGTTCAAGATGCTTCCGAAGCTTAATTTCCAAACATTTTCGTCATTTGAGATTTAATATGTCTTTATTCCATTTATCTCTTTTGTTCTGTCTCTCTTCTATCTCTCTCTCTCTCTCTCTCTCTCTCTTTCAGAATTTTTGACAATACATAACATACAATTTGCTTGTTGTGTCACTATCTCCTGAAAGAAAAACAGCATTGCAAGTCTTCTTGTACCATTGTAGGAATTTATTAATTAATAAATTACTTAAGAAGACATAAATTGTAAGAATTTTCAGAAATATATTAATATGTTAATTTATGCATAAGCTTTATGTGCATAATACATGAATTATATATTATTACCTTTTATTATAATATGCAAAATGTAGGATGTTAGTAATTTGTTACAGAATATTAGACAGAATTAAAATGTATGCTAATATTATTTCATGCATGTTTTACTGTATGTAATATTATTTTATATTTTTATTATAAATTAAAATGAAGGATGTTAGTAATTTGTTAGAAAATATTAGAGACAGACCTAAAATATATACATAGAAAATAGTTATATATTATGGGATGTTAGATCTAGAGGACATACACATATAAATAAATGTAAAAGTTAATAATCAAAATTTATTTTCTCTAATCATATACATATATTTTAAATTTTCTAAAGAATGTTACAAATATAATTACTAGTACACTACGGATATACACAGCTTCTGGAGTAAAACTTAAAAATTATTGTAATAAACATTTGAAATAATTTTGGATAAATACGATTTAAATTCTAAGTTTCTCTCCAGAACATGCATATAAATAAATATAAAAGTTAATAACTACAATTTATTTTAATTGTAATATACATAAAATCTTTTAAAGAATATTACAAATACTATCAATTTGTATAATTATAAATATACATAGATTTTAGAATTTGTAAAATTTAAAGACTCCTGCATCATACAATAAAGATTAAAAATAACTTTTGATAAATGTTCATAAATATATTTCCTTTCCAATTTTTTTAAAACTCACGTATTTTATGCATCTCAAAAACAAAAAAAAAATCTGCTCGAAAAAAATTTGCTCTCGTCTGGTATTCTTTATTATGAATGTATTTTCATTTATAAAAGATTTTTTTTTTTTAGTCAATGTATACAACATGTGTTTGTTAGACATTTATTTTTTTTTATAAATGATGTTTGTAAACCAACATTTTATGAAAAATATATTTTATAAAAAAAATCACTAATACCAGATTTCATCAATATAAAATTAACTTTAATCTTAGTTCAATTCCTTACTTCTTTTTCCAATTTTTAGGATTAGAAAAAGATTAATAATAGGTTAAATCGAGAAAGTTAATCTACATTGATAGAAACTAGCATAAAACGAAAGGGATAATTTTTTTCGAGCGAATTTGGTTTCTACGTATTAAAATACGTGAAACGTGTAAGTTTTAAAAGAGACCGGAGAGGGGATAAACCCCCACAACAAACATTTTCTCGCTAGCTTTTGGATACTTTCCATTTGATGACACAAGTGTCGTTCTATCTTTCTTGAAAGAATGACAAAGACAGACAGACACTTATGTCGATTTGTGTCATCAAATGGAAAGCACCCTTTTACGATTTGTAGAAATTACAAATAAGTACTATCTACTTTGTGTTAGTTTCTTACAGAAATCTATTTACAAAGACACTACGCAGTGATCGAAAACGGGTGATACACTCACATGAATATCCTCGTCGAGAGCACGCACATTCCTTTAGAAACTACCTGTTCAAGTAAACACGTGTATACCTACACGGAATGAGCCGCCGCGCTATATACAAATAAAGTACATAGATGACACGAAATATTTTCCGATTTCGACAGTACAATTATAACACAGGAGAGGATCACGAGAGTGACACGAGATCAAGAAAGTGAATATGAGACCGCAAGAACGAGAACGAATATTACGTGAAAACATGGAACAAGGAAGGGAATACCAATACCTGACCGTGGTAGCCATGTTGCCCTAATCTGCCTTCAGACGAACTTGGGAAATTTGCGGGAGAACTACCTTCCACCTCCGGGTCGCGCTACCGATTATACGGCGCGTTCGAAACGCGATTGGAGACACAATCGGAGGATTTTATCGTGATCGCCGTCGCTCGATTTCTCGATCTGGTAGCCGAATTCTCCCAAAAAGCGCGTGTCCCAGCGACGATGAGTATCTCCGTTGATACACACCACGCACACCCGTGTCCGTGGCTACCAACACAAATCGTCACACCAACAAATCTCGTTAGACGTTTAAATTTTCAAATCTTCGGAGAAATGGACGGTCCCTCAATTCGAATGCTTGATGACTCGACCACAAGGGGGAACTGGCGGCAGTGTGATGTATCGGGCACGAAGTACAAATATAATAGTGTGCATAGTGTAGAGGAAGAAATGTAGAGTTTTTATAATAATTTTTGTAGAAACTCTGTTATTGTTTTATTACCATTATTACTATTGTATTGTTAATTATTATTATTTATTATTATTAATTATATGTTATTACTACGCTATCATTATTTATAATCTATTATTATTTACTATCATTATCTATTATTACTATTATTATTATATTGTTATTGTAATAAAATAGAAAACTATAATTCAATTCACGTAAGGGTTTACGATGGTTACGTTGAAAATGCTTGCATATAATATGTGCAATAAAGCAAAGATTCTAATAGTAACAAATTAATTATGTATATTACAATAAAGAATATATTGTTGAATTCCTTATAAAAAATGAAAGAAAATGATAAAAATAATCATTTTTTTTACGATGTAAATATCAAAATTTATAAATGGAAACAAATTATTTTATTCTATGAATTTATTATTTTATTGCGTTAATTGCAGACTTACTGTAAGAATCGAAACTTAATATAGAAATAAAGGAAAACAAGAAAATATTTTTACTAATATTCTAATAAACACAAAATTGTACAAACTATTATAAACATATTATAATATGTATAGTATGTAAATAATAATTTAATAAATATGTATGAATAATTTGTAGAATACATTACACATAGAATTAATATTTTAAACTACATATATTAATGATATTAGCTATAATACGTAGACTTAATTTAATATTTAATATATAAGTAATAATAAAAAACATAAATAATTTATATTGATCAAATTTCTTCGATTTTTAACAATCCGACGAATGTAGGGAATCACTGAATCGTTTATAATTTCCAACGTAGAAAATGATAAACCTAAAAGCGAGCATTAAAGAGGACATTCATAGTCCAATTTTATATTTAAAATCGTTTTAATTTGTTCTTAGGCGAATTAGATAACATTTAGCCAATGAAATGATCGTGCAGCTTTTCATATTAAACTTATAATTAATAATTTATCTTATTAAATAACAAGATTGGAGTATAAATATCATTTAATATTAATAAATTAATATTTATTACATTATGTAATATAATATATAAACGCGTGAAATACTTTACTTTTATAATTTTTTTCTTTGATTCTGATTATGCCACAGTTTTTCTGTCAATATCAGCAGCTTTTCGTGCCCGATAGCAACTCAATAAAACACATTTCTCTTACAAAAAGCATAATGAAATAGCAATTTATGTTACGTCATTCACCGACAGCTGGTGAAGAGCCTTTTAAAGAAATATTGAAAATATGTTTGATCGGTTTCTTATCTTATCTCTCTTTTTTCTCTGTTTAATGTTATATCTTCCCTCTAAAATATCTTAATGTTATATCTTCCTTCTAAAATCGATCTAATTCTTATGTACATTGCATATTTATTATTGTTATTTTTACTTTTTTTTGTACTTGTAAATCCTCTTTCAAGTTTTTCATAGAAAAGTATATTGAAATATTCTGTAATTGATTGAAAATCAATTAAGTTTTTTGACTCAGATTTTTCATTAAAAAATTTTTAAAAATAAATGCATCAATTAAGATTCTAAGTGATTAGAATTAAAGATCTCAAGAAATTTCTGGAAAATTTCTAAATCTTAAGAATTTTGGAAAATAAATCAATATTTATTCTTTTTATACACAAATAAATTTCATTTCTTCAAAATTCTTTTTTTACAAATGCTCTAGTGTTAAAAATATAAATAATTAATTGTTCATCGATGCATTTTGTACGTTGCATATTAAATAGTGAATATAAACACCATATATTTAAAAAATTAAGAAATCTACGTTTCTGTATATCGCAACGCAATGTTAAAATAATTTTAAAATTTAATTTAATCTAAAGTTTTTTAAACTGAAATCTCAAATAATCTTAAGATTTAAAAGAATATATAAAGTGTAGTATATTCTTTAAATTAAGTTTTTTATATTATAATTAAGAACAAAACAAGGAATTACACAATAAACTTTTTTAATTTATCTTAAGTCTTATTTATTATAATTTCAAATTTGTGTATGCAAAATATTTAACAGAACGCTTATAACTTGTTCTCCATTCTATTTTTCATGCCCTTCTTTTGAAAGATTTCAAAGCTGACGTTAGTTATAAAATATAAATTAGGTATACCTCAAAAGAAGAGAATAATCTTCATTTGGTACAAAATGTACAAACGATATTCATATTTTAATAATCTACAATATTAATACAAATAATATAGATATCGTTGCTGCATAAACTTCAAAATTACAAGGATTATGTATAAAATCTTCGATTAATTCTCTTACCAAGAAAATGAAATATTTATATATATATATATTTCATATGTAGTTATTATTTATATAAAACAATAGTTTATAGGATAAGAGGAAGAAAGCGACAGCACATTGCTTTCAAACCAAATTTATTTTTCCATAAGATTTCACAATAAATTTCAGTATTATAATCTGCTATAATATTAGCGGTGCGCTGTTGGTCGGACAAAAAAAATAAAACAATTTAGTGTTGTATAATGCATGTTACATTATTACTTAATCTATTGCAATATAATGAATTTATATTACCGCCAGAAGCCAGTACAGACAGACTATACAATTAGAGGCAGGGATTCGGAAGCAACATAAAGGTGATCCGAATAAAATTGTATAGAACATTCTATACATACTTATAAGTGAAATATTTCGAATGGTGACGAGTTACTTGTACCATTACGAATAATGGTAATGTCTGAAACACACAATAATGTATAGTCATGTAGAATTTTTGCAGTATGGCAGCTGCCATATCCAAGAAATACAAATCAAGAGCTTTTCCTAAATTTATTAATTATCGTTCTTGCATTAACCCCTTCGCTACGAGAAGCCACCGTCATAGTTCGCTGGGAAATATTTTCCCATGTAGATAGAGAAAATTCGATGAGCCGTCAAATCCCTAAATAAATTTCAGTAATTCCTTACTCGTCGATTCATGATTATATTTGTACAATATGTAAATATATCCAACGCGATGAAATTATATATTTCAATTTCGAAACGTCGGAAACAATACTCTTAAATTAGAGTAATGTTTTGTCCCACCGCAAATATTTATCATTTGCCGTTGCGAAAAGGTTAAAGAACGATATATAACGCGATACACGAAAGAAAGAACAAATATATTTTGGTAAGCAGTGCGTCTATACTGTTTCTCGGTCACGCTGACCATCCGCTAAGGATCCACCAAAAAAAAAAAAGCAATCCTTTCAATCGTGCGCTCTGTTGACCCCTGCGGTAAAATAAGCAATAGATATAAAATAAGGAAAAAACTAATCAACATGATCAAAACCACCGATGAATTTCTCGCGACTGGCGAATGTGCCAGTCCTCTGAGAAAGGATGTACCATCTCCGTGATAATGTTGAAACATTGGCTTCATACTGTCTGACGATGATGTAACATTGGCGACTCCCATAGACAAAAATCCGTTGGAGAAATCGATATCGACTCTCAATATGTGTGACGTGCGCCCACGCATTCGAGTAACAAGTATGTATGGTCATGTATACCTACTCCTCAGTTCAAGGTAATGATAGATACAAAGGAATTCAAAGTGTATGCCTTTTTAATTTCCTCTGTGCTTTTTCCATTTAGTTCAAATATCAAATCCTTGACGATGGTGGAAGAAACGTATGGCGTTTTGGTGCGATTCGATCTTCTATAGCTTAAAGATTACTTAAAAAGATCATTCACGAATTCCTTCGCCGTAGATTCACCCGAGCATGACGTTGATACTGTCAAATTCGGTCAAATTGTGAAGTGATACGCTTCCATTCTATATCCCGTTTTTTTCCTTGTATCATCATTCCTATTTTTATTAGTTATAACATCATTAAATCCTCGAGATAAAACGGTCCTTTCACAGGTAAGCGCTTGTCACGGTGATTGACAGTAAGTCGTTTGTCGTTCTCCAGCCTGCACGGATGTCCTTCTCTGCTATCGTTGCACTTGTTACTAGTCAGTAAATACATAAGCCTTGCGTGTTTCCGCGTCCACGGTGGAATTCTTCAACGGCGAATTAGCTTACGGAACCTTCGCTCTCCTTTCACACCCCTTTATCTCACGTCGAGGACATGAGCATATGCTGCATAATATCGTACTCGATCGTCGAGCCGTCGTACCGTTTTGCGCAGTTAGTGATTTGTGGTTGTTGGTCGAAGAAGAATTGGTCGAACGAGCCTTCATGGCATGGCAATTGCGTTGCTCAGCCGTAGGTAGGTCTCGGCTCAGTAGGGCTGTGAGAACTGTCCTCCGGCTTGCGACTGGCCCGACTGATAAAAGCCACTTCGGTCGCCTTGGTAAGTCGAGTCCTGCGATAACAGACCGTCCATCTGTGACTGGAATTCGCCGACCGCGAACGAGTCCTGAGAAAGTTCTGCCTGACTGAGACCAGGTTGCGAGAGACTGAAACCAGGCTGGGACATGCCCTGAGTTGTGCCTTGCGTCAGTGGCAAACCCGGTTGACTGTACGGTTGTGTGTTTTGCTCGGTTTGACTCAATTTACCCATACGCGGACCTGATTTATTCCTTGCTGAAGCAGTGACACCGCGTCGGTTTCTTTGATTCTGGCGTGCTTGTAATGCTTGCTGGTGCTGATTGTAGAAACGCGGCGGCACGTGTGCCATGTTCATAAACATACCAACCGGTACGGGCATGTTGTTCATCGCTGCTTGTGCCCGTTCCGGACTGATGTAGCTGATAGTATCATGAGTACGACTGAAAATGTCGAGCGGCACATTTCTTTGGTAGTACGGATTGTGATTTTGCGTGCCATTCACTTGAGTGCCAGAACGATCGTACACTGATCCGGGGATCAGGGCTTCGCGCGCATCGTACATCGACGTGGACATAAAGTGCGAGCCTGGATT